TTTTTCTGAAAAAGTGGACCTTTTATAATGAAACCTTTGTGTACCTAGATCAAATTGTACCCAGAATGGACCTTTTTCTGACAAAAAGGGCGGTTCTTTCGAACACCCCGAAACCCCCCCCCCCCCCCCCCCCCCCCCCCCCCCCACCCCCGGCGACGGGCCTGAACTAATAAGACAACTAACTGTTTATACATGTAAACGTTAATGGTGTTGCTTGTATGAGCGATGATTTAACATTGAACATCTATTCATATTTTTTTACCAAAAGAACACTATGCTGCTACAATCACTGACTACTCTCGTCCTGTCTATTCCCGATTTTAGCATTCATTTTCCCTCTTTGACGTTAAATGCACACTCTCTTATTGAAAAGGTTTTGTTAGTCAAGAAAATACAATAAGCAAAAGAAATCATGTTATGTCAGACAATATGAAAAAGATAATAATTCTTCGTATTATACACAACAAAAACACTGTAAACATCTTACTGAAACGTTGCCATCGTACCATGTGGACTGCATAGTTGGCTACCCTCTGTATTTGTCTCCTATGAGATTATTACAAAAAAAAAAAAAAAAAAAAAAAATAGGTTTATATCGGATGTCGAACAGATTCATTGAGCACTGATAAGTATGGGAAAACTTGCATTTAGGCCAGAAATCCATTTTGCAAAGCTTAAGATGAACAGTTTATATCTCTTTAATAAATGCGTTCATGAGCGACAACTTACAATGTATTCAGAAACCGGAATACCGCCGACAGACTAGTTTTACTTTAATTCATGTTCATTAAAAATACACTCCATGGAATTTACCCTCCAACTCGGAATATCACCGGAAAATAAGCAATTTTCCTGAACTCTGGAATCATCCATCTATCCCCTTTTTACTTGGATTCTACTTGGATTCGTGGAAATATTTATTGAGGTTGATTTTATCATTTAATGACTGACCAGTAATTACAAAAGCAGCCACTTCCTATACGCTCCAATATCAATATCATAGATAATCCCTAGAAAAACGTATTAATTTTTTATAAAACGCTGTGGAAAACAAAAATAAGCATTTAGGGAATTTTTTAAACCCATGGGGTGTACCCTTAAACATATACTGGTAAAACGGGCCTAGCAGCTAGATTTTACTCTTGTTTGGCTTGGGGTGTGTTTAAATCCATGTTGTGGGGGATTTTTTTAATAATAATAATAATAATAATAATAATAATAATAATAATAATAATAATAATTATTATTATTATTATTAAGTGTTTACCTTAGGCCAGTTGGAATCTTTTCACTAACTAAGCCAAACTTTTTTCATTATAAATAGACGTAAACATTATAACATGTGCTCAGGTTTCGAAATCGTAACTTATCAAATATGTCGGGTCAAAAGTATCATTTTATTTATTTCTCCTGTTTTAATTTTTAAACATTAGTTTAATAAACGCATGATATTAAATTAATTTCCACATCCATTCTGCAGTTGATAGATATATAAACGGCAGACTTCATATAGTCGCATATGCTCCCTAAAGGCATGCCTGAAGCAATGAGACATTTGGTGCACAGGGTCGCCTAGAGCAATACATCCATCCGAAACTTTTCATACTGGAATATGTATACAATATCTATCAGAACAAGAGGAAGTCCATGTCACTTCTAATTAAACCGTCCTAACTACCTACAATGTATTCAGAAACCTATAGCGGTAGAAATATTATGACCAAATCATAGACTTTATCAAATGCTACCACAGCAACTTACTACGGCAGTAAAATGGATGGTGCCGCGTGGAATGTAGTCAATGACGACCTGCCTGAAGCTAAACCTCAAACAACGGAGCCCAGCACGACCCATTGTAAATACTGCCATTAAAATATTAGAAAACACGTCGCAAATATTCACACACGAGCGCAGTAAACAGGTGTTCATATAGTCTACCTTACGACCTTTTCTGTCCTTTGCATCAAGGTTCCTTAACTGAACACGCGTTTCCCGCATCCAGAGGTCATAATGACCATCATTTTCTCTCTCCGGACATTGGGAGTACTACTCGGTACTGTGATATTACATACGAAGGCACAGTCTACGGTAGAGGAACCATCAGCAGAGGTGAGTATAGTGTACTGGTATAACATTATCGGATCCAGGATTTTGAGGGTGGGGGAGTGGAGGGCGTGGCCCAAGAGGAGGGAGGTAACACGTGGGGGTGGGTTGGGCGTGGCGAAAGGATTAAAGATGTTTGCTTTGCCTTGCTCTACAAATATGAATTAATAGACAAGGGGAATCTTGTTTAAATATGTAAAGCACTGTAGTACATAAACTGGGTCTTGGCTGGGGAAAAGAGATACCTCTGACGGTAAAGAGGGGAGGGGGTATAGCCTGGGCCCGCTTTTGTTATAAAAATGACATTTTAAACGATAATGGTCCTTTGCCTTATAATAAGTACTGTGCCTGTATAACTCCAGTACGTTATTTATTGTTTTATACATAGCATATGATAATAAGATTGTCATCTCTCATACTTTTTAGTAAATAAGTTGTATTTGAAAAATAAGCATATTTCAACACTGGAATCCCATACATAGGAAGAGCGTATATAGGGAATATCAATATTGTCATAATGTATCTTTGCCGTGACATTTAATATACAACATTGGTCAAAAAGGTTGTCCCACCCCCATTTCCATGTACTTTTATTTACAAATGATCACCTCACAGCTGTGAACTGTTAGAAATAGTGCTTTTTATTACGTATACCGTGTTTAATATGATTAATGGTTAAAAAAATACAAAATAGTGGTGCAAATATACACATTTTATACCATTTAGTAAAATTTATAAGAGGTACCCCCTCAAATCGACTGTTTCACTGTGACTTCTACAGATGTAAAGAAATGTCTATAAAATTGAAAAGACGCCATCAAATGTCACCAAATTCACACACAATTAGCATTATGGTGTGCTCATTAAAGATAACGTGCCTAACAGCGTGTGCGTCTACCGCGTACTGCAATTATCTCCTGTAGACGGCGCAACAAGCCTTCAACATGGGTAACAATTCTGTTATGTGGGATATTGTCCCATTCATCCTAAAGAGCGTGGCGGAATTGGTCAAGATTATTTAGGAATTGGTGCTCCTCTGCAATGCACATTCCAATTTATGCCACAGGTGCTCTGTAGGATTAATATCAGGACTCAAAGACGGTTGTCCCATCCTCAGAGCCCCGTGTTTCTGCAACAAATCGTTTGCCAGACGAGAGCTGTGAGCAAGTGCGTCGTCACAATGAAGCCAGTAGCATCCCTGAATTCACCTCTTGCAAATGGAGTGAGATTTCTGTTGAGAATGTTACATAAAAATGCCCCTGTTACCTTTTGCTCCAAAAGGAACAATGTACTAATACCATGGGCTTGGAATGTTCTCCAAATGTGGATTGATCTAACACCTCAGGCCATATTATCCTGCACTCACCCTTCCAAGAGGCATTTTTAACATGTCTATGGACCCTCTTTGGCCATCGATGGGATACAAGAAATAATTTGATTCTGCATCAAAATCGACTTCCTTCCAGTGATGGATGGCCAGGTTCAGGTGCCTGTGAAATCACTGCACGTAGCATTCTCAGCTGATATCTCATTCCATCTTCAAGAACTGGCTTTGGGGTTAACTCCAGGCTTTATCATGACTGCACACTTGCTCACACCTCTCGCCTGGCAAGTGTTTGTTGAAGAAACACAATGGTCTAAGGATGGAACCACCATCTTTGAGCCCTGATATTAAACTTACTAATCAACTGTGACATGTATTGGAGTGTGCAATGCAAAGGAGAACCAACCCCATAAAAACGTGGACCAACTCCCCCAACTTGTTAAAGAAGAATGGGACAATATCCCACAAAACAGAATTGCAACCCGTGTTGAAGGCTTGTCGCGCCGTCTACAGGAGATAACTGCAGTACGCGGTAGACGCACACGCTGTTAGGCATGTGATCTTTAACGAGCACACTCTAATGCTAATTGTGTGTGAATTTGGTGACATTTGATGGCGTCTTTTCAATTTTATAGACATTTCTTTACATCTTTAGAAGTCACAGTAAAACGGTCGATTTGAGGGGTACCTCTTATAAATTTTACTTTAATGATATAACATATGTATATTTTCACCACTGTTTTGTATTTTTTAAACCATTAATCATGTTAGACACGGTATACGTAATAAAAAGCACTGTTTCTAACAATTTACAGCCGTAAGGTGATCATTTGTAAAAAAAAGTACATGGAAATGGGGGTGGGAAAACCTTTTTGACCAATGTTGTAAATGCAATGGAAGGCGTCTGTTTTAAAGCGATATATGTACATTAATATTTTCTTCTGTATTTTTGTGTTTCTCGGCCTTTATTTATTTATTAATTAGTTTATTTATCTTTTTATTTATTTATTTATTTTATGTGCAGGTGGTTCTCCCCTGGAATTATGAAAGATACTACAGCACGTCACCTAGCAGCCAGTCTGTTACCACGGCAACAGTTGCCACGACAACTGAATCTAACTCCCTTTGGTCATCAGATGCAAACTTTTGGGACCAGTATTCAGAATATTTCCAAAGTCTTAATGTTGCTGCATCTCCAGACGAGAATAGTGCAGAGGCACAATACTCCACGACGCCAGCTACTACACGTGCTGCGCCAACCACTACGCAGGCGCAGCAGGACGGAGAACATGCGATAGGGGGCGACACATACTCTGACTACTGGACGATGTTTCAGCAGTTGTTTGCACCCGACCAATACAGCAGCCAACCGACCACGCCCATCACAACCGTTATGACCACTACAACAACAACACCGACACCAACTCCCACCGTGCCGACAACAGTAAAGTTATCGGTCAACGACCCGTATCAGGCAGGAGCAGGTTCACATGACCCCTATAAAAACTACTGGTTATCGTTTATGAAAGTCATAAAGGAAATATACCAGTGGCAGGCCGCCAATTCTGTTCGAGATGTCAGTGCTACACCATCGGATTCGTATCAGCCAGGCACCGTGGATGAGCCTAGCACTGAGAACAGCCGGATCCAAACCGATGCAACACCTTCTGAAAATCAGGACATCGGTCATGTCTCCCAAACTCCAGTCCCCGCCAGCTCTGTGGAATCAAAGAAAGCTACTGTTCAGGGGTCAGCCCAAGTTGGTTCTCCGTCCCAAAGCAAACCAATAGTTTACCGAGAACAGCCACCAGCAACACCGGATGAAAGTGATCCTGGTTTGGAAGGAAGACATTCAGGAACACCAGATGAAAGCCAGTCTGGCGGAGAGCACCTGTCCATTCAGGCATCTTCTGTAGAACACAGTTATCAGGGCGTTGGACCCCCAGCGCCATCTGATGTGAGTTACCATGAAAGTGAAACAGCTACCCCGGCGGAAAGCCATCCCAGTCCACTCTACCAACATTTGGAACTGGCGTCTCCTGATGCAAGTGCTCCAGTAGCAAATGCTCAATTACTCCATTCAGGGACTCGAGAAGAGGGCAGCACTATCACCAACTACCAGTCAGACATATCAGCCCTTAAAGCGGAAGGCGTGCCTGTGGCAACTCCAGATGAAGGCACTCCTGCCACAGTGACGTATCAAGCATCTGAACCAGGTACGGTCTCTGACAGTCAGACAATGGAGGCCTACATAACCGCAAATCATGCCAACCCGCCTGTAAGCCAAACCCAGCATCATGGATACCGTACTAATATCATGCACCATCCTCCAATACCAACTACTACCACACATAGATCCACTACCGGGACAACCCCTACTTATCCTATATACCACGAGCAGCAAGTGTCAGCGGGAGAAGCAGATACACACAATTCATACATCCCCCTCTCCTACAAGTCACAGGAGGGAAGCTATGCAACAAGTCAACACAATACTCAATCGATGTCCTACCAGCATCCCTCAGTGTCAACATATAGCACCGTAGCGACCACCACAACGACAACAGCGACGCCTATCGTGAACGTTTACCCTCGTGTTGTAGAACAAGAACCAAATTACGCAGTCCGACAACAAGCTAACCAGGCACTGCCTTATGACTGGATCTCCCCTTGGACGCTGTCAACCACTACCCCATCTCCGCCGACATATGGGACGACCTATTACCAGTCAACGCGGCCATCCACCTACTCTCAGCCTGTGGAGTCCACAACCCGTGCTGCGCCTCCTCCCGTTACCATGACTACCACGCCAGCTCCTAGTTATTGGGACAACAGCGGCCCTGCTTCTGCCGGTTTACCCAATCATCCACCGACAAACTTAAAACCACACGAAGAAGGCACCGGGTACACTACGAACAGTCAAATACACAGGCCATACGTTTCTCCAATAGTTCATTCAAACCCTGGTATTTATGCACAGAGACCATCGACAGTACCACCGGTGAAGCTCCACGAGCCACGTTATGTCTACTACCCCAAGAGACCAAGGTCCAGAAAGGACTTAGTGCGTGACCCTAGAACTGGCCTACTTAATTCACCCCCTGAATATCGCCCTCGACCCAAACCTATTGTCATGACAACAACCATAGCTCCTCTGTTGTCAAGGATACCGCCATATGGTGCCCCCTATGACGGACGTGCCCGGATGGATCCGGTGTCAGAGTACAGGGCGCAGAATCCTATAGGCAGAAACGCTGCTATGATGGAGATCCTTATGCCGGATGCTTATGAGCATTTCCATGGTAACAGCTTGGAGTATGGGTCATATCAGGATGTGCGGCCGAGGCAGTATAGTAATGGGCATGACAGGCCAGACCATGCCTCGTGGGAAGTGGTGAACAACGTGGGGAAATGCAGACATATAGGTGAGTGTTTTGTGGTTTGCTGTTCGTATTGTTGCGCCACTCATGTGTATGCCTGGCATAAAGGTATCTTATAGTGATTATGCCTAAAAGTCCCCTCCCTCTATCCCCATCCTGACCCTACGCTTTCTCTTAGTTTAAGCCCGGTCTCTTGGTATCAACCACAAGGTCACAGCCCCATTGCGAAAGGTGGCCTTCCTTTTTCCGAAATTCCAATGCTGGGCTTGAATAGTAAAGCTAGAGGTTATGTTACCATTTCAATGTCTTTTGATGACTTCTCCCAATGTCATTTAGTCAGTTTGCTCCCACATATATTTCAATGTAATACAGGGTGCTAATTCATTCAGAATTATGCACCCTATTCAAAATGTTCCACATAGACCTATTTTTTAAACTATTTTTATATTTAAAAAAATATCCAAAACTGATTCTCTATTCCGGTACAATGTAAGATTTAATAAGTTTTCATTTACTTAAGTATGATATAATTCACTGGTTTTTATAACCATGTTATCAATACCAGTAGTACGTTGAGAACGTTTTATGTGTTTCTCTACACTATCATGTGTACATATCCTGTTGATATTTCAGCCGGAGCCTGCTACCTGCGAGACCCAGGTCTTTACCCACACCCTAATAGACGCTGTTTTATCCAGTGTGACTATGCAGGGGGTAGTCACGTGCAGGAATGTCCCCCGGGGACACTGTGGGGTGGCACCTCCACGAGACCCGCAGGGTACAACATGTGTACCGCCAAGGCAAGGGCTCACGGAGCTTATTGAAAACAATCTACTCGTATATATTTAGTGACCTTGATCTTGACCTTGACCAACAAGTCGCTGAATCGTTTCTTTTCACAGGAACATAAATAAACAAATAAATTTTAATGTATCAATTAAGCAACGACACGACTGATATCCATTCGGGTTAAATAATGATCTCTCTGCCCCAGATGCCATCTGTCGGTTAAAATTAGATTTAAATGACGAGGAATTGTTGACATTGGTTGTTACTGTCAGGGGATGTTCCGTGTATTACTAGGAATTAGAAGAGGTTTAAGAGCGTCCCTGGTGTATTTTAATTTAAAAGTGCTCTTATATGGCTTATGTACAAGTCTTATATACTCAGTACTATGTAGTATTTATGGTGTTGTAATAAACGTGTACCGTATTTTGAACAAGGGGGATAAAAACCTGTAGATTGGCTATGTGTTCCTGCATCAATGTATTAAAACAGAAATATCAATTAGGAATCACAGAGGTTAAAAGACACAGTAGGGACAGTTGGAAAAAATAAGAAAGAATGTGCGGTCGATTAAGCATGACATTGTGGTATGATTATGTCAGCAGCTTGCACATCTACTGCAATGCATTTGTATTTACATGTACAAGTACCTGCATGGTCTTTTTGGGTTCTCCTTCTTTCATGGGACCTGGACCAGTTGCCTTCATGGTCAAATTGATTTAACGCTTAGTTTTATTCGCTTGAATATATCTAATGCGGACTAATTCAAAACGTCACACGAGTTACACGGCTGTATGTGGAAAGAGCCATCCCTTTCCTCGGTGGTGCATCGATAGAATGCTAATGCACTCAGAAAATTACTGAGTGGCCACATCCCTGTATCGGTGCAAAAATTAGAAATCACACAGAAGTTACAGAATTTGCACTTTGTGTGAAATAAGAAGGAATGTAGGTCCATTTGGCATGAGACTGTGGCAGCCGTGCAAGCAGCACAACTACTGCAATGATGTACCTTAACCAGTATCAAGCACTTTTTGTTGCTTGGACACCCAAGTCAGTTACTCATTCAGTGAAATCATTTTATCCAGTCAAAATGTTCAGCGTGACACCCAAAGCATTTAGACTGTCATGACGTCCAGGCAACATCGACACCATTTGTAAGTGTCTACGTAAATATCCTGAGCTTGTCTTGTGTCATCTCCTTTTTTATTTATTTATTTATTTATTTATTTATTATTATTATTATTATTATTATTATTATTATTATTATTATTATTATTATTATTATTATTAATACTGTCAATCAAGGCAATTTTTCTTTCCACTCAGTTTGCTCTGTAGAAGCATTAATATGGCTTAATGACCAATGAATGTTGTCAGTTTGACACCAATACATTAGACATGATTTTCATGTTTGTTCCCGTTTGAAATAAACAGAAGTCAGCGAGATACTGCTTTCGTCTTTACTACATCCCCAGTGTGGTTTTTAAGTTGGTTAGCTAGTCAATTCATCCTTTACAACCAACTTATGCACAAAGCGTTTGATGTGAAGTGTGTGGGATTATAGTGTATTACATCATTGTTTCGATACAAAACAGGTCTGGGAATTGCGTCACTGAGTTTACATCAGAAGAGAAGTAAACATATCAGGGTCATCCGGGGCTGTAAACTTGTAGATACACATAAAGCGACATAGAAAAGAAATGGTGGAAATATGAGTAGCAAAGACACATTCAGTAATGACACGAACTGATATAATGAAAAAAAAAATTACAGCAGACGTACATTTTTGTTCACATTGAAAAATATGTAGGCCTATATGTGCACATAGTGTGTACATGCTTTATTTATTTTATATAATTAATTTCGTGTGTAGGTGTACAAGAGGCCAGTTGAATCGTAATAGTCGTATCTAAATATTTTCCGTCCAGCCTTTTTCCTTTGAAAAATATTAAACTGTCTTTTTTATTTTCCGAATCATTCCTATCCAACCCTGCACATGGATTCTAAATTTTGTTCCGTGTCTAATTTAAGTATTTCGTTTTACGTTACGGCGAGTCATTTTGACTTACGAGACAAGGCACTTTAATACAAGTTGCAGAATGTGTGAACAAAGAGAAAAATACTTTTTTTTCTCAAAAGACATTTCGTACAGCCGCTGGTACCTTTAAGCGTATGACTGTGGCACGGTAACTAAAGGTATAAAGCATTGTTTAATCGTGTTTATTCTTTATTGTAACGTATCAAGGTCGGCAAAGAATGCAGATATATCACGCTTGCCTTCATTTGAATCCTGGTGACGTAAATGCAGGCGAGCTGATCGCTAACGACAGAGACGCAGTATGGCTTAATTTCACAGTGCAAGCGTCTCACTTTGTACCAGTACAATCTTAGAGAGCACTTTACCGGTAAGTACTACTAGTAGGACAATTTACATCACATACGAGTGTCTGCTTAAAACAAAATTGATTTCAGATTTTTTAAACACCTTTTTTAGAAGAAATGGTTAAATCCATCAATTTGGGAGGAAGTCGGTCGGTTGATCAGTTAGTCAAGCAGTTATTCAGTCTAGTCAGTGGCTCAGTATGTTTTTGTGCATGATCCCTGCACCGCCCCGTTTCACTGCTTGCCAATCTTAAAAATGTTTTCTTTGAAATCTACAGAAAGTGACGCGTATCGACTTACCTACCCATTTACCCGTCATAACAGTTCAAGAAACCACATCGATAATGGCAAATAATATTATTCGCCCACTTGGACGCATCGAAACCAACAGCGCTTTGATGCATGAGGAAAACGTCAATACAGTTGCTTTTACCACGTGGATCACCTCGAAAAGGGTGATAACAGATGACGTTTGGGAACAATGTCTCAGCCAACTGCAAAGAGACATTCCGCATCTTCGACTGGTCATAGTTTGGCAAGAAGGGAAGAGACACTTCAAGTATATGGACATCCCTCGTGTAGACATCGAGCTGATTGAAGGGACGGCAGAAGATGACTGGGAGAAGGTCCACGAGGATATGATGCGCGTGAGCTTTGACACAGCCAATGGTCCGCTTTGGAGGGTGAGAGTAGTGCGCATGCCCAAACGAAATGCTGACTCTAGAACAGAGGGATATGCCGTAAATGAAAACGACCTGTTTAACAGCGTAGTCGTATTTGGGGTCCATCACTCTATCATGGATGGAACCTCCAGTCTGTATATGTTACGCAGGCTAATTAATATCCTAAACGCCGCCACGTCGGGTGTTCCCTGTGAGGATAGCGAAGACGTGATGCTTCAGCCAGCTTTGGAAGATCTTTTGCCACGTGTTGACATGGCATTTAATTGGCGAGATTACATCCAAGTAGCAATTTTAAAGCTTATGGAGTGGTTTCCAAGGAAGAGTCTTTATATGAAGCGATTCCCGCCACCGACTGCAGTAGGTGATACATATACAAAAACAGTGGCGGTTGAATTTTCAATTCCAGAAACTGAGAGAATTCTAGCAAAATGTAAGGATCATGGGACAACTGTTCATGGTATCTTCTTTGCCGCTGCATCCATGGCCATGGCCAGTCTGGTAAATGATGGAAAACCTCACAGCGTTTTGAACATAGGTTCTACTCACGCTGTTAACATGCGGCGTTTTCTTCCACCCGAATTAAAAACTGCTTTTGGTCTTTTGGTTTGGATACCTGCTGTCACATTAATGACTCCAACCACTGTGGCGTATTCTGCCTTATGGAGACTTGCAAAGAATGCAACCCAAGTTGTTCACTCCGCACTTAGAAATGGAGAGGTCACGCAGTCTTATAAAATAGAGAAATACATGGGTGACGACAGCGTGAAGCGCATGCTAGCCTATCCGGATTGTACAATGGAATTTTTTATGTCCAATATCGGAGACTGTGACAAGTTATGTCCTCCTGGCGGAAAAGACGACGAGGTTCACGCTACAAGAATTGTCACGTCCACCGCGTCGCTTAGGTATCCTGCGCCGTTTGTGCACTTTTTGCACAAATTCCGAGGTCGATTCTGCTACAATGTAGACTACTGCACCAACAGGGTGAGTGATACCAACGCCCACAAATACGCTGAGCTGACCGTGGAGTTGATGAAGATGGCAGCAGGAGACGAATAGACATAGAGATGATTGGAATTAAGTTTTTCTGTTTTGCCCTATTTGAATTTGAGAAAAAAAAACAACTAAGTTAATATAAGTGACTGAGTTAATATAGGCATTTCAAGCTGAGTGTGAGGTGCTGCGACGGTATGGGGCAGAGAACGACCAAAATGCAGCTTAGGAGTTGTACTGGTGTATAAGTTTGGCATCTGGCACAAAATATCACAGTGGCGTGCAAATCGAAGAATACAATAATAACGTAAATGAATAAACAAACCAGAAAATAGTCATGATGTTTTCACACACTCATCTTTTTGGAGAGTTGGTTTATGTTTTTCAGGCGGCCATGGCTGATTAGAGAGAGGACATATTAGAGAGGTCATGCATATATTAGGTCACGTAAGACAACCTATAACCAACTATGCTTAAATACCCATGATGTGTTACACTTTTTATTTAATGCAGGGTTACTTAGCAAATACAGATCGCATCTATAACAGCACCATAACGCCTACATAAGTATAAGCTTTATGGTAATGTTTATGCTGGGAAGATGAATATTTTGAATTATAAAGCTTCTTTTGCTATTTGCCTAGTACCAATAGTGTCCAATAGTCATGGAACTTTGGACATTGATACTTTATACTAATTAAGCAAATTCAATTGCGTCCACACAGGTGATGATGTGTACTGCATGAATGAAATTATTACTAACTAATTATAATTATGTATAACTAACCTCATGTAAGCCAGAGTTTTGGTATGATGATTCCTTGTATTATCCATGCAATAAGCGTTGTCCTATATATATATATATATATATATATATATATATATATATATATATATATATATATATATATATATTATGGCTACATATGGTAAGATGCACACGATATTATCATCTGTTTGCACACTGGATTCATTGTTTTGCAAATAGAGATGAAAATAATGAAAAATAGTCAATTTCAGACAGAGTCAAGAGGCAAAACGGAGGACGAGTAGTTTATTAAAATATTGACAGTAACATCAAAGTAAACCCTTAGAAAATTGTGAAATATTTACAGAAAATAATCATATATTCTTACAACTTTACTTATCTCATCATCAAATAGTTTACGAAGCTGAATATCTGCGTTTCCTTAGTTTACTTGAGATCGTTTTAAAACGTACATGAAGTCTTTATTTATTTGATGAAATATTTCAAAAGGGACTTTTTTTGTCTTCTTAATAACAAACCTTTTAATACCATTCATCCACTCGTGGCAAAAGCATTACTAAAGTGGACTTCAGTTTGGAAGTACGTGGCCACACCCTACCATGTATAACGGGTAGTAAATTGTGATATGAGAGGTCCACACCCACTGTCAGCCTGGAGATGACGCTGAACATTTGGCTGATATATACATTACGTGTCCTTTCAGGTTTTATTTTTTTTAACTTGGTACAAACGTTATTTGAACTAAGCAGATCATTTTCAATGCAAATTTCAACACTTGTTGCTAGGGTAATATATATGCTATCTAGCAAATGTGGTTTAGGTTAATTTGGGTTTTAATGGCCGCAAAATAGTCTATACGTAGCTAGTTCTACAGGTAATACCCTAAAACCAGTTTTTAATCATTTAAACTGGACAAAAAAGGTCGTATTGTAACTAAGGTAAATTACTTCCCTAACAACCATTTCTAAGCAACATTTTAGAATTTTGAACTCTACCCTTGAAAATGATCAGCATAGTCCTTAGAACATTTGTGCTAAGTCTGATTCTTTTTCCACATTCTGAGCAACGTTGACAATCAGCGCAATCATCTAGACTAAAGGAACGCTCTAAATATATCAGTAATAAGAGGCATGTAACATTGACACATTACTACGTAAAAAGGGTCGACGTTCAAAGAGGTCAGAGTTGGGGCATTTACTGGATAATAAAATTATGAAATTTATTCAAATAATTTGAACCTTGAATAGTTATTTGATGATATGTATGAATTATTCTGCCTCAAACTATAAACCACATAAATGTCATAACAGTGGCATATGGTAAAATAATTGGAAGGAATTAGTCTTTTAGTCTTTTACGTTCTTATTTTACAGGCCGGTCACAGCAGGTTATGATAAAAGGCATATTATCAAATGCTTCAGAGATAGCTTTTGGTGTGCCACAAGGCAGTGTTCTAGGACCTCTTGTTTTTTGCATGTATACCTTACCAATTGGGGCCATATTAAGACATCATAACATTGGCTATCATATTTATGCTGATGACACACAGATTTTTACTTGTTGCAATTTAGAAAATCCAAATGAATCTATTGATATATTGTCTGAATGTATTGATGATCTTCGCGGGTGGCTGATTAGTAATATGTTGAAAATTAGCGATTTAAAGTCTGAACTTTTGGTAATAAGTCAGCCACATAATAGTATGATAGCACAACAAATTCCGCTCAAAATTGGATCAAGCATTATTAAGCCAACACCTCATGCAAAAAATCTTGGTGTATTTTTAGATGGATCACTTTGTATCAACAAACATATTGCCAGTGTATGCAGGTCAGCGGTTTTTAACATTAGGAACGTAAGTGCAATTCACAATCAGTTGTCTGACTCTGCTGCAGCCACAGTTAGTTACTGTTAGTTACATTTCGATTAGATTACTGTAACTCCATTTTATACGGTTGTCCAAAGAAACAAATTGCTAGACTGCAGCGCATTCAAAACATTTCGGCCAGATTATTAACTCGGACATCCACAAGTAAAAAACATCTCCCTAGTTTTAAAAAGTTTACACTGGCTACCTCTACAAGCCAGAATTTTATTCAATTTTTTTAGTTTTTACTCACGATGCTTTTTATGGATTGGCACCAATCTACATCAATGAATTAGTCAGTCACTATGTTCCAATGCGAAATCTGTAGACCAATTGCTACTCAACCCAGTAAAAATGCGATTAAAAACCTACGGTGATATATCTTTTAGAGTTGCAGGTCCAAAGGAATGGAATCTATTACCGCTGGAAATCCGAGCAATTCAGTCTACCAAACATTTTAAAAAAGAACTCAAAACATACCTTTTTAGGAAATATTTTGATTAACTCTTACTTGGTTTTATAAATCTTGTATTAATTGCATTTAATTGTATGGAATAATGGTTGTTTTACCTAGATTTTATTTATGATATTTTATGTAGTATTATTTTTGATATTTTACGTAAAGTCTACTGAACATTTTTAATGGATTTTAGACTTAAAATAAATTTATTATAATATAAAGTCGATTTTGCAAGATATTGAGACCGATGCGCAAGCAGCACAACTACTGCAATGCATTGACATATGCACTGACAGACATTTAACTGTATTTCCTGGCTTTTATATAAACAACGTTTCTGATGTGAATTGCATTCGGTATTGCTGAATAGCATACAAAATAGGTCAGGTATTGTGGCATTCATTCTACATCATACATTAACATGCCATGGTTATACGAGACGATATGATAAACATATCGTGACAAAATGGAGGCAAATGCACTGGAAGAAAGAAAATTAATTATGACACGAACTGATCTTTTCAAAATAACGATAACAGATGTACATAGCGGCTGCATCTATGGGGATATTTGTTTCAGTGCTTGGTAGGGATAGAGGGCAAGTATTAAATATATCGTTTCTGGCATGTTTCCACAAAATCAATTATCGTTGAAGACAAGCCATTATCAACATATTCCTCAATCATTGCTCTATCCATCCCTGCAACTGGAATGTGTTTTTATTTCAATTAATGTATGAAGTGGGAAATAGAAGTAGATAGCAGGATGTGCAGGTTTTGGGACATTTTTGTAACGCTGTTATACAGGTACCTGTTAGCTTGCGATAGTGTCACAGTAAAAGGAGCATACCACAATATTACATCGTTGACTGTTAAATGGGACTGTGTACGCTTATTACCTTGTTGTCCTTTTATTTATAAAGAGCCTAAGTCAGGAGAGCAAACAGGTATTTTATATGTGTCGTTTTATGATACCACGTCATGTGAATATCTAGGTGAGATGATCGTTAACGACAGTGACACGAGAGTTGAATCGACTCCACAGTGAAAGCGTCACACTTCGTAGAATCTTCCAAAGCAATATAAGGGTAGGTACCCCTAATAGGAAGGTTTCCACCTCATTCAAGTAGATTACTTACTAGTATATCATATCACATAAGAGTGCTGACAAATATATTATTATAATTTACATAAAAATTATCAAACACAAGCCTAAATATTTCCATACCGTTAGCATACGGCCAACCCGGTAGAAGGCCTTTGGCCGTAAGCTAATGAGACGGAAATATTTAGGCTTGTGTTCGATAATTTTCTTGTATGATACAACTACCAAGCTAATGAACATTTTGTTTATGCTTTTTTAATTGAATGAATTCATCAGTGTGAGAATTGAAAGGTCGATTAGTTAGAAAAGCACTGAGTCACTCGATCTTGCCAGTACCTCAATGAGTTGAACGTTTATTTCAAGGCATTTTGCATGATCCCTGTACCTCCCTGTTGCACTGCTGACCAATTTCAACAATGTATTTTTCTAGATCTATAGTAAGAGCACCTGTCGACTTATTTATTCAGTTACGTCGCTCTGACATAACAGTTCAAGAAACCACGTCGATAATGGCAAATAACATTATCCGCCCACTTGGGCGTGTGGAAACCGACTGCGCTTTGATGCATGAGGCAAACGTCAATACAGTTGCTTTTACCACTTGGATCACCTCCAAAAGGTTTATAACAGATGACGTATGGGCACAGTGTCTCGGCCAACTGCAAGCAGCCATTCCGCATCTTCGCCTGTCTTTAGTTTGGCACGAAGGGAAAATGCACTTCAAGTATATGGACGTTCCTCGTGTAGACTTCGAGCTGATTGAAGCGACGGCAGAAGATAACTGGGAAAAGATCCACGAGGATATGATGCGAGTGTTGTTTGACACAGCAAATGGTCCGCTTTGGAGGGTGAGAATAATGAGCATGCCACAACGAAATGCTGACTCAACAATGAAGGGGAACGTAAATGAAAACGACCTGTTTAACAGCGTAGTCGTGTTTGGAATTCATCACTCTATCCTAGATGGAATCTCGAATCTATTTATGCTTCGCAGGCTAATTAATATCCTAAACGCAGCCATGTTGGGTGTGAAATGTGAGGATGGCGATACCGTGATGCTTCATCAAGCTTTGGAAGATCTTTTGCCAAAAGATGAAATGGCATTTAGTTGGCGAGATTATCTTCAAATAGCAAAAGCAAAGTTTATAAAGTGGTTCCCAAGCAAGAGCCTTTATATGAAACGATTCCTGCCACCGACTGCAGTAGGTGATACATATACAAAAACAGTGGCGGTTGAATTTTCAATTCCAGAAACTGAGAGAATTCTAGCAAAATGTAAGGATCATGGGACAACTGTTCATGGCGTCTTCTTTGCCGCTGCATCCATGGCCATGGCCAGTCTGGTATATGATGGAAAACCACCCAGCGTTTTGAACATTGGATCTACGCACGCTGTTAATATGCGGCGTTTTCTTCCACCCGAATTAAACGCTGCTTTTGGCCTTTTGGTTTGGACACCTGCTGTCACATTAATAACTCCAACCACTGTGGCGTATTCTGCCTTATGGAGACTTGCAAAGAATGCTACCCAAGTAGTTCACTCCGCACTTAGAAATGGTGACGTCACGCAGTCTTATAAAATAGAGAAACACATGGGTGACGACAGCGTGAAGCGCATGCTAGCCTATCCGGATTGTACAATGGAATTTTTCATGTCCAATATCGGAGACTGTGACAAGTTATGTCCTCCTGGTGAAGAAGACTACGAAGTTCACGCTACAAGAATCGTCACGTCCACTGCATTACGTAGGTATCCTGCGCCTTTTGTTCACTATCTGCACAAATTCCGAGGTCGATTCTGCTACAATATAGACTACTGCACCAACAGGGTGAGTGATACGAACGCCCACAAATATGCTGAGCTGACCGTGGAGTTGATGAAGATGGCAGCAGGAGATGAACAGACATAGAGATGGTTTGAATTAAAAAGGTTGTCTGTTTTGCCCTATTTGAATTTGAGGGAAAAAAAAAAACATTTAAGCAACTGAGTAAGTAAAGGCCTTACACGCTTAGTGTGAGATGCTGCGACAGCTTGGGGCAGAGAAGGACTAAAATGCAGCGTAGGAGGTGTATTGGTATATAAGTTGGGCTTCTGGCACAAAATATCAAAGTGGAGTGCAAATCAAAGAAGACAATAATAGTAATAATAATAATAAACAATTCCCAAATCATCATGGTGTTTTCACACACTCATCTCTTTGGACAGATGGGGCACGTTTTTCAGACGGCCATGCCAAGAGGCTGATTAGAGAGAGGACATTTAGGAACGTGCATATATTATTTCATGTAAGATAATCTATAACCAACTATGTTTTAACATCCATGATATGTTACACTTTTTTATTTAATGTGGGGTTAGCAAATATAGATTACTTATATAGGAGTACCATGACGCTTACATAATTATAAACGTTATGGTAATGTTATTGCCGGGAAGATGAATATTTTGAATAAGAAAACCTCTTTTGATATATGACTAGTACCAATATTGCCCAATAGTCATGGAACATTGGTCATTGATACTTTATACTAATTAAACATATCCAATTACGTTCTGCATCACATTATATATATTGAGGTGAAGGTGTGTAATGCATAAATGAGTTTATCTGTATAACTGACCTCATGTAATCTAGAATTTTGGTATGATGATTCCATGTATTATCCATGCAATATGCGTTGTTCAATATATGTTTTTTTAATGGCCACATATGGTAAGATTCACACTATATTATCATCTGTTTGCACACTGGACTATTCATTGTTTTGCAAATAAGATGAAAATTATGAAAAATAGTCAATTTCAGTCAGAGTCAGGAGTCAAAACGGAGGACGAGTAGTTTATGAAATTATTGACATCATAGTAAACACTTTGAAAATTGTGAAATATTTATAAAATATAAACATATATTCCGAACACTTTACTAATTTTATCATCAAATAGATTGCAAAGCTGAAAATCTGCGTATCATGAGTTTACTTAGAATCGTTTTAAAACGTACATGAAGTCTTTATTTGTTTGCTGAAATATTTCGAAAGGGACTTTTTTTCTTTTTAATGACATGCATCCACTCGTGGAAAAAGCATTACCAAACTGGCCTTCAGGTTGGAAGTACATGGCTATATCCTACCATGTATAACGGGTAGTAAATTGTGATGTGAGAGGTCCACACCCACTGTCAGCCTGGAGATGAAACTGAGCACTTGGCTGGTGTATACTTATCACGTGTCCTTTCAGGTTTTATTTTTTTTCAACTTGGCACAAATGTACAACATTTCTGATTTGAAATACATTCGATATTGCTGAAAAGCATACAAAATAGGGCAGGTATTGTGGCATTCAGTCTACATCATAAATTAACATGCCATGGTTATACGAGACGATAGGAATGATAAACATAAAGTGACAAAATGGAGGCAAATGCACTGGAAGAAAGAAAATTAAATGTGACACGAACTGATCTTTTCAAAATAACGATAACAGATGTACATAAGGGCTCTGTCTATGGTTGTATTTGTTTCACTGCTTGGTAGGGATAGAGGGCAAGTATTTAACGTATCGTTTCTGGCATTTTTCCACAAGATCAATTTTCGTCAGAGACAAGCTATTATCACCACATTCCTCAATCATTGTTCTATAGCCTTAGTTCCATCCCTGCAATTGGAATATGTGCTTTATACAATTTTTGATTTTTTTTTCTCACCGCCAAATAATTTAACCCTCCATGTCTTTTGACACAAGGGACTTGAATATAATGCCTTTTTTATGTATGAAGTGGGAAATAGTAGTAGATAGCAGGTTGTGCAGATTTTGGGACATTTTTATAACGCTGATATACAGGTACCTACAGGTTAACGTATGATAGGGTCACAGTAAATAGAGCATACCACACTTTACAACGTTGACTGTTGAATGAGACTGTGCTGTGCACCTTGTTGTCCTTTTATCTGTTTTTGAGCCTAAGTCAGGAAATCATACAGGTATATTATATGTGCCGTTATATGATATCACGTCATGTGAATATCTAGGTGAGTTGATCGTTTACGACAGAGACGCAAGTTGACTTATTGTCACAGTGAAAACGTCGCACTTCGTGGAATCTTCCAAAGCGCTGTACAGGTAGGTGTTCCTAATGGGAGTGGTTTCCCCTCATTTCAGTAGATTACTTACTGGTACATCACATGAGAGTGCTGATCAACATATTTTTTTCCTTTTTAACAATGTTATTTAACTGTTTAAATTCATCAGAGTGAGAATTGAAAGGTCGGTTAGTCAGTCAGGAAAGCATTGAATCACTCGATCTACCCAGTACCTCAATGAATTGAACGGTTATTTCAAGTCATTTTGCATGATACCTGTACCTCTCTGTGTACTACTGACCGATTTAGACAAAATTTTCTTCTAAATCTACAGAAAGCGACGCCTGCCGACATATTTATTCAATCACCGGTTCGTCGCTTTGAGATTACAGTTCCAGAAACCACGTCGACAATGGCAAATAACATTATCCGCCCATTAGGACGTGTGGAAACAAACTGCGCTTTGTTGCATGAAGCAAACGTCAATACAGTTGCTTTTACCACGTGGATCACCTCGAAAAGAGTGATAACAGATGACGTTTGGGAACAAAGTCTCGGCCAACTGCAAAGAGACATTCCGCATCTTCAACTGGTCATAGTTTGGCAAGAAGGGAAGAGACACTTCAAGTATATGGACATCCCTCGTGTAGACTTTGAGGCTGTTGAAGCGACGACAGAAGATGACTGGGAAAGGGTCCACGAAGATATGATGCGCGTGTTGTTTGACACAGCCAATGGTCCGCTTTGGATGGTGAGAGTAGTGCGCATGCCCAAACAAAATACTGACGCAACAATAGTGGGATACGTCGTAAAAGAAAACGGCCTGTTCACAAGCGTAGTAGTGTTTGGGATCCATCACTCTATCATGGATGGAACCTCAAATCTGATTATGTTACGAAGGCTGATTAATATCCTAAACGCCGCCACGTCGGGTGTTCCCTGTGAGAATGGCGAAGACGTGATGCTTCAGACAGCATTGGAAGATCTCTTGCCACAACATGAAATGGCATTTAATTGGCGAGATTACCTCCAAGTAGCAATTTTAAAGTTTATGGAGTGGTTTCCAAGCAAGAGTCTTTATATGAAGCGATTCCCACCACCGACTGCAGTAGGTGATACGTACACAAAAACAGTGGCGGTTGAATTTTCAATCCCAGAAACGGAGAGAATTCTAGCAAAATGTAAGGATCATGGGACAACTGTACATGGCATCTTCTTTGCCGCTGCATCCATGGCTATTGCCAGTCTTATTAACGATGGTAAACCACCCAGCTATTTAGATATAGGTTCCGTCCATTCTGTTAATATGAGGCGTTTTCTTCCAGCCGAATTAAACGCTGCTTTTGGCGTTTTGATGTGGATACCTGCTTTCACATTAATAACTCCAACCACTGTCACGTATTCCGCCTTCTGGAACCTTGCAAAGAATGCAACCCAAGTTGTTCACTCCGCACTTAGAAATGGCGACGTCACGCAGTCTTATAAAATAGCGAAATACATGGGTGACGACATCGTGAGGCGCATGCTAGCCAATCCGGATTGTTCATTGGAGTTCATGACGTCCAATATCGGTGATTGCGACAAGTTATGTCCTCCTGGTGAAGAAGACGACGAGGTCCAAGCTACAAGAATTGTCACGTCCTCGGCAACACGTAGGTATCCTGCACCTTTTGTGCACTTTTTGCACAAATTCCGAGGTCGATTCTGCTACAATCTAGACTACTGCACCAACAGGGTGAGTGATACGAACGCCAAAAAATACGCTGAGCTGACCGTGGAATTGATGAAAATGGCAGCAGGAGATGAGAGAGACAAATTGACAATTAAAAATGAACGTCTTGATTGGTTTTCCCAATTATAAATTGAAAAAAATATATATACAAATAAATCTTGGGTCACACTGCGCTGGCAACCTTTTGACAACTTTTTAGCAACCAAAATATCTGGCGGTTGCCTGCGATCATTTTGTGAGCTGAATGAGAAGCTTTGGCATATTTTGAGCAACCAGTCGCAAACTAGTTGCAATAACGTTGGAGAATCCAAGACTTCATTCAACGTATAGGTTACTAGTCGCACACTGTGTGTCGATCGATATACAACCTTTCAGCGGCCACGTGATGATTGAAGACCGGTTCCAGGACTGAAGCCATTGACTGCCGACTGGTAACCTCAACATACCATAGCCGTACAGGTATGGTGCACATTTTTGACGGTGGCAGCTTTTACATCAATTCCCCTCTCAGAACACAAACAAAGAGAAAAACATTTCAGATAGATGGCACCTTCGCAATTTTCTGTGAAACTTGGGATTTGGTCTAGTTTTATTACGCCTTTTGATCAATTTACAATNCAAGCTCAAACAAGAGGCCAGCGGCTATCCACCAGAGTGCACGACACCACAGCTCAAAAGAGACTACATTGCTTCCTACTTCACCAAAGAGGGCATTCGACTAGACCCTAACCAAATTAAGAAGAACCCAGGTCTGAGGGCTTTGTCTAAACTGATGCTTAACAGCTTTTGGGGTACGTATAAACAGAGGTAGCATTCATTTATTACATACACTATGTCTGAGGTTCACGCATGATTCCAATATTTGTATTTGTCATTCACCGTAAATAATGGTAATAACATCGTACGTACATTTGCATATTACATCTGTCCTTGATGCTTTATTATGTTTACACCTTGTTTATTCACATCATACAATATTACAGTACTTCTCATCCGTGCATTTTCACTATCCTTACTCGCATAGTTATGTTATTATTTTTTATGTTTGTTATTTCAGGCAAATTCGGTCAACGAATGAACATGACACAGTCCGAATACGTCACCGAGGTGGACGAGTACTTTGCACTGCTGTTGAACAAATCCGTCGATGTCACCAACGTGATGTTTTTAACCGATGATATGGTGGAGGTACACTACAAACACCAATCTGAGTTTAATGAATGCTCCGATAAGACCAACGTCGTCATAGCCGCGTACACCACCGCCCACGCTCGTATGGTTCTTTACAGCGCCATAGAGGTCCTGGATCGAAACGTTCTTTACTTTGACACGGACTCAATCATCTTCCTGGACGATGGCAGTGCACAAACCAACGCCTACCTAAATACCATCATGGGCAGCTACCTTGGCGACTTCACCGATGAGCTAGATGAGGGGGACCACATCACCACCTTCGTGTCGGGCGGGCCGAAAAACTACGCATACGTTACCGCAAAGGGAAAGACAATTTGTAAAGTGAGGGGTATCTCACTGAATTATGAAACCTCACAAATAGTGAACTATGAGACTTTACGTAACATGGTACACGGTATAGGTCCGAAAGAGGTGTCAACAACTACACATCATAAAATTGTGCGAGACACTCTGAATAAAGAACTGCTCTCTAAAAGGGAGGATAAAGTTTACCGGGTTGTGTACACTAAACGTGTCATTCAGCAAGACTCATTTGATACACTACCATACGGCTATTAACTTTCATAAATTGCCGAGTAGTGTTGTTTATATATTTATCATTTTTCATTTTGTTGTACATACATTGTTTTGCTGTTTTAATCTGTGCATGTAATTGATAGATTCACTATACTCACTTTGCACTGCATTATGCATAATTATTATCTTTTAGTAAATTAGACATTTATGTACATTGTTTTAATGTTTTAATGTGTATATACAACTGTTCACTATGATCAACTTACAATGCAATTATGTATTTCAATAAAATCATGTTTTATTTACAAATTTACTTGTTTATCACTACATTGTGCCTTTTTCCTTAGTAATTCTTTAAAATCTCCTACATGCCCAGGCCCGTTCTGTGACGTCATCCGTTACCATAGTGAAACGTAAACAAAAATAGGGAGTCTCGTTTGTTTACATTAAAAAAATTGTTTGTTTATTTTGTAAACATCCCCATTGTCCGGTATAGGTTTTCCATTGTTCAAATGATGTAACATAACAAAAGAAAAAAATGGAATTCTTTTCTCCCGTATAGTACGGATGTAACTACTAATAGGAATGGTCGAATAGTTAGCCCGCAGATAAGGACTCGGATCGTCACGATTGGGTGTAAATATGCATCCAGGAGCCATAGCAATCTTGTGAGACAGTGATTTCTCTTCTATCAGCTTTCTGCTGTCAGGGATTGTCGTCAGCCTTTTGCAAAAATAAAATGCATTTAAGCAAGAAAACAAACGTTTCAGAAATAAAATCAGTGATGCGCAGTGATTACGAGAGGCCGTTATTTTAGATTTTGTTGGACATATAAGATTTTCCCTATAGTAATCGTGCTGGAAACACATCGTATGAATTAATTGTAAAAGGGGATGTGAACTATAGTGCATGGAAAAACTGCACTTTATTACTTCTGTACTTAAAGATAGATAAGACTGCATACTTTTCATTTTAAATGTTGATAAAAAGGCTAATTTGATAGAAGTTAATTGTACAGGGTAAGATCTTTAACCATACACGTGTATCACCTTATCCATAAGAACATTCCTCCTTGAGGCTCCACGAACTCCGCCAAACCAGTCAACCACCTCTTTGCAGACGACATCATGGCGTTTTTCTGGCGTTCGTAGAATGCGGAGATCTCCCGCCATCGCTTCTTCGTCCCCTGCTCTCCCCAAGCCTCAAAGATTTTGTGAAGCACAGCCTGAGCGAGGTTGTTGCTGTGTTCCTGCGAGAAACTCACGTGGGATTGAATCTTTGAAACCAGTAGAGAGGGGCCGCTTAGGATGCCGAGACGTAATCCGGGCGTCATACATGTTGAAAAGGAATCGGCCCTCAGCACCCTGCCATCTGTATCGATGGAAAGAAAACTTGGCTCCAGACGGTCTCCAAACTGAAGAAAATAATACGGATCATCCTCAATAATGAGGATATTGTACTCTCGGGCAATGTCGTAGATTTCTCGTTTTCTCTCGAGGGGCAATGTGACGCCAGAAGGGGTATTGCTGGAAGGAATGACGTACATCAGTTTAGGGACGTCAGAATGAGGATTGTCTGCGTCCTCGGGTTTCCATTTTGACATGACACTTCGCAGCTCGCCGGGAATCATGCCATGGTCGTCTCCTTGAACCCCTAGCGGCTCAGCACCGAGCGTGAGGAGATTATCTATGGCGCTGGAGAACGTCGGAATTTCTACCAGGACCTTGTCTCCCTCTTTCACACACATTTCAAGGACTTTCGTGTACGCTTCTGCGGCACCGCTTGTCACCATTATTTTAGTTTTTGATTCATCCGCATTTTCTGTAAAGATAACACTAGGAAAAGTATATGTATTTACGCACATATCCTTTTTATATAATATGTACTTCATTGTGTCTGTGTAAACCCAGTATATATGGTGTATTATGCATTTGGAATTGTTGCCCTCTTTGGCTATTAAAATCATCCATAGCTAGAGACTGACGTAAGCACTATCTCCAGAGAGATATATAGAGCATGGTATATATGACACATGTTGTTACATGAAGAGTGTAATATTACGACTCGTCCTACGCAAAATTACAGGAATCACTTTATATTTATCGTCATGCAGTTATATACACGTACTGGGGGAAACAGTATGGCATGAAGCCAATCAAATAATTCTCTACTGTACATCACTCAAGCAGTAAAAAAAAACAACGCTCACGAGGGTAGGATGTTGTTCCATATCCATTACCTCTCGAACAGTCAGACCGGAAGAAAACTCTGGCGGTTTATTTATTTATCTATTTATTTATTTATTTATTTATTTAATTTATTTATTTACTTCTTTTTCATGAACCTGTACCGGGTTATACTTTTCACAGATGTATACACACGTAGTAACAGTATGATATTATGCAGCTGTTATATAACTGTCATAAAATACAATCTTCTTTCCCTCAATTTGCGTGATAAAACTACATAATATTAACCTCTAACGCATTGTTGCGTAATGTCGCAACCAGCTGCACACTAGGTCATTATTGAGGTCAGCAAAAAAAAAAAAAAAAAAAAAAAAAAAAAAAA